AAGTTTGTTTTTAAAAACTATTTTCAATTTCAAAAATTATTTTCTACTCTAGTAAAAATAAAAGATATTTCTCAAAAATATTTTTCATTCATAAATCAAACACTAAAAATCTTTTCCGAAAAATATTTTCTAATCACTAACCAAACATTAGAAAATAAGTCAAAAATCAATTTGTTTTCCAAGAAAACATTTTATAGGAAAACATTTTCCTTCATACCAAACACACCCGTATTCACAATTTATGATAAAGCAAAATTAGTAGAAGAAGAAAATGGAGAGTTTATCTTAATGACAAGTTAGGAGGAGAAGGGCAAAAGATAAGAAAATAAAAAAGAGAAAAATAAAAGGAGTTACATACATTTTTTCTACTTATACCTGTCAATGGAGGACAAAAGAAATGAGAAAGAGAAAAATTAGAGGGCCAAAAAAGTAAAAAAATAAAACTACTTTTAATTTCTTTTCTGCTTACCTGTCAAAACTTTTTAATTGGTGTCTTTTTCTCCTTTTCATTTTTTACATTTCCTTCTTTTTTCTTACTTATTTTTTTGTTTATTTATGTTACATTTTCTAATTTCTTAATAATAAAAATGAAAAAATCCAAAAATTACACAAAAAGAAGACGTAAAGGGTAGATTATCTAAATTTATAAATACTAAAATTTTATATTTTTAATATTTATAATTAAAAATATGAAATTGAGCGAATTGGAAAAAAATTTATTTATTTAAAGAAGTTGTCGGCGATAAAAATATATTTTATCCGATTATACTTAGGACGTAGACATTGCAAGTGAAACATGAAGAAAATTAAAATTAACATCAAGTTTCCTCTATTAAGTGGTTGTCTTCATATCCTCGATTATATATGAATCATATCATACAGAAGTAAAGACTCATTAAAATTAATAATTTTTAAATTTATTTTAGTACTAGAGACGTATAAGAATTTTTTTGGATAAATTAATGATGATGCTTCATTGAAAAATTAAAAAAATACAGATAGAATAAAGAAAGTTCTTTGATGATTTTAAAACGAAACTTTATCAAAATAATTTCAATGGAAAAAATCTTCATAGTTCTTTAATGATAATGACAACACAATTTTGTTAAGGATGAACAAGGTTAAAGTTTCGTCACATATATATTTTTTTTATTAGTATTATTTGTTATTTTTATCAAAAAAGAATATTTCTTGCTAAATGATATGTTAAAATATTAAGTATACATAGTTGTAGTGACAATATCAATTTTTTTTTGCCTCAAATTAATTTTTTTAAACTAATTAAAAAAATAAATTTATTTTAATAAAAAAGATGTTAAATTATATTTTAAATTATATGTTTTAATAAAAAATATGTTAAGTTATACGTTATGAAATATTGTCTTGCACATATCCTTTAAGATAATTGTTGTAAATCTTGAACATTAATGTTAATTTTTGCAGGAATGATGTCGTAATGTCATAGTTGAAAAATGAAATACATGTATAAGATTATAAATCAGATTTTATGTGAAAATTTTGTTTGATTTTTCATTGTAATTTGATTATATAAAAATCTTTAATATAATATGATTTTGACACTTTTTTCCGTAGGTTTTCTACTATTATTTTGTCTGATGTATTTTTATTTTTTTTTACTTTATTGAAATTCTGTTTTTGTATTTTGTACCATTTATTTTAGTTTTTTGTAAATTTTAAGTTATTGCAAAATGTCTTTGACATGAACTTTACTCTCATGTTTGGCAGATACAAGGATCGGTACGCAACCACAAATCCTTTTTAAAATCAACGTTCTTAAAATTAAAGAGTTGATAAACTTGTGTGCTTAGACCATCTTTTCTCAAAGAATTTTTTAAATATAAAAATCAATCTCTTAAATATTAATTTATGATTGAAATATTAGAAAATGACTATTTTATAAAATAAATTATAATCGTGCGAAGCGCGACTAAATTCACTAGTGAAATATAAATTAGAACGAAAATAGTGAATAATAATAATAATATTAATAACACAAATAATATTGAAAAGCTTATTTTATTTGAACAAGAAGTTCAAAGGAAGAAAAAAAAGATGGAATAAAATAATATTTAAACAGACTCAAATTGCTTTCAAGAGTCTTCCATTATAAAAAGGGAAGTGGAAAGGAAACAATAATATCCCCTTTTTTGCAAAAAGCAAAGCAATCATTAAAGCACAAAAAATTCACTTTCCAATATTTTACATTTATCTTATTGTTGAGCCTAAGACCAAAGAATGCTTTACAATATCATCTTAAATTGTGTGACTTTATAATGGTTAGTTGCCACTTGGCTTAACCTTTATTATTTGGAATTCTGTCGTCCGAATAAGGCAATTTTGTGGTGGTTATAAATACTTTACATTAAAAAAAATTATTTCGAAGTTCAAATTTGAAATTTCTCAATCTCACCACACTAGTTACTGATATTAGAGAATGAATATATATATATAATCTAAATTCTCCCCTTCCAAGTATAT